AACCAAGATTCCAAGCAAGTTGAAAACCAAGCTCAGGACCAACAGCTGCAGTCACATACTAAACATTGGTCATGTCTAACTGTAGTACATGTAATTAAAACATAATAACACAATTCATTCAAAAAAATTCTCTGTCCATCATACAAAATTATTTTGGCCAATCATGACATTCAAATACATGCCACAGTTCAACCACCTCGTGATAAAGTTAATAATTGTCTATTTAGGACAATCTTTTACAACCGGACATACTAGAGTTTGATGATTGAAATAAAATTACCCAACTTTCAAAAGCTAAAAAGTTATAATACCCATAATAACATCCAAAAAATTTGCTTTCAAAAAGAATTCTATGGCTACTTTTACAAAAAACTACAACCATCCCGTCTATTAGTAAAACTATCTGATCAATGAGCTTAAACTAATGGAAGACTGCACCATACTGTAGCATTTGTCAAAATTGATGATAAAAGAATAGAATTTTACAAGAACTTCCAACTAGAGAAGTAAAACAATAAAAATTTTTTAATAAGGTAATTATGAATCATACCAAAAGATGAGACCATTTGATTCAACATCAAAACAAGCTAAAGAAGCACTACACCAATCATCCATATATGCATCATGAAAAATAATTGGAGCAAAAACTATCACCACGAAAGATGTCTAGTTTTTCAACTGCACCAACCCTCAACATATACATGCAACATAAACATAAAAGTCTGGCTCCAATGCACAATCAAAAAGACAAGGTGATGTCATAAAGCATAAGCGTTTACCAAAAAGCAATTCATGAAACCCCACCAGCTCCAACACCCTTCTTCCTCTTACAACCATCTGTATTAGCCTTTACCCATGGAAAATATGGTCTTCTCCACCAAAAAAGAGAAAATAAATTTCTATCTCTAACTATTGACATTTTACCAAATAAACCATCACAGCCAGCCACAAAACTTGGCTTAATTTTGTGATAAAGAATAAATGGTTAGAGATGATATGTTTAAATATACTGCACATTTTCTTCATATTGAGCTTTAACCAATGGAGCCAGAGCAACCACTCCATTCTTACCCCCATATTATGCCTAATGATTAATTAGTAAGGTGCAGATAGATGAAGGAGAAAACTTTAAGCACTTTGACTGTTTAAGGGGCATGCTTGTGAAAATACTATAGGGACTACAATTCTATACTAGAACTTTTAGTGAAGTGGAATAATAGAAGAATTTTCATTGCTTGTAATGCATACAAAGGTATGGAAGTTAACACACTTTTTAGTAGAATAATCCTCCCTCCAAAGGATAAGTTAGAGGCTATCTAATCAACATTCCTACATTTTATTTTATAAACATCTTCAAATTGAACCTGTTATCTTCTACCTTTAAGCAAATTAACACCCATATATATATAAACTGCTCCCACAATTACTGCAAAAACAATGCTAACATAAAGAGTGACAGTGCAATTGTATTTGATTCATCAATTGTCAACCAGTGACAATTTTATCTCTTAAAGATGCCACTATCAGAGCATGGCGAGGGGAATCTTTATAAGCAACATACTAAATGAAAGAAGAGGAATATTTATGATTTTCAGGGCATGGCAACCATTATGATCGAACATGATCACTGCCACATTTTCAACATTCCCTAACGTCCAAAACAATGGTAGTTTTTAACGCTTTTATCAATAGCTATACCAACATTTCCCAGCGCTCAAAACAATGATAAAAATTTGCTCAACACTACTTATAACAACATTCTCAAGCAAAATTTTTAATATTCAAAGTATGACGAAGCAAATTGCTTCTAAACCAACATTTTAGTGCAAAATAATGAAAATACACTAAAAAATTCTTAAATCTTGGCAAATACTTCTTTGCAACTCCACCTCCAAAAACAAATCAGCAGAGAAATGGGACTTATCTTCCAGTATCGCAGTTAGGCGATAGGAAAACATACCTCATATGACGTGGTAATGATCACGACGAGGGTGAAAAGCAAAAGGTAGATCGGAGAGGGAGAGGGAGAGGGCGAGGGAAAGCAGAGAAGGGCGTAGGTAGAATTCCTTACCCTAATGCGAGTCGCTGACGCAGCACGCGGGCTCTATTTTGCAAAGTGCGTATTGGGACAACACCAAAACGCAGCTCGAACTCGTTTTCCAAACAGTGCAGCGGCGTTCTCAAAATGCCCCCAAACAGACCCTCAATCTCAGCTCATTTGCCTGCTTGGTGGCTTTAACTTGAGCTCTAGCTCGACTCATGACAATAATGGTAAGCTCATGATCCATCCAATGAAGTAGTCATTGTGAGAGCTCACTAGAGAAGGCATTGACATGATCAATTATTGGAGAAGCTGTCATGGGTGCTCCCTAGAGAAGGTATTGTCGTGACCTGCGGCTGGAGAAGATGAACTAGTCACTGTGGGAGCTCAATAGAGAAGGCATTGACGTGACTTGTGGTTGGAGAAAATGAACTATTCACTGTGGGAGCTTACTAGGGAAGGCATTGACGTGATCAATTATTGGAGAAGGTGCCATGGGTTTCCTAGAGAAGGCATCGATGTGAGCTGCAGCTGGAGAAGATGAGCAAGTCCTTGTGGGAGCTCATCGAAGAAGGCATTGATGCAATCAACAACTAAAGAAGAAGAAAAAGTTAACTTGTGAGCTTGCCGAAGAATGGATCGACCCTAAACTTGTTGTGCACTATCTTTTGGCAAATAATAAAGTGTTTGTAAAGAAGAAATAAATTTACTAAGAAAGTATCAATATTCTATTCATTATTTAATGTAATATATAGTGGGAAATACTCTGCTTCATGAAGGAGCATATGTAGTGCCTGACATGTTCAGTGGCTAAGTAAATGAGCCATCTTGTGGGCTCTAGTTTGAGCTTGAGCTCATGCTCATGGCTTGATACGCTCGACTCACTATCTTATTGGCGGATTGAGTGTGAGTTGGCTTAGCTAATAGCGCAACTTCAAAGTAAAAAAATCCAACCCAAAGTTGATTTATCTTCACTTGCACTTGAAATCTAACATGCATCTAAATATTTTTGTAACTTCAAAGGAAAACTTGAATCGAGTATACCATAGTCTTCAAATCTTTCAAAACATCCAACTACCTTACGTATGTAATACTTTAAATAAAACTTGCATTATTTAATAGTTTTTATGATTACCTTACAATATTATGCAAATTTTGTTTTTGAAGCAATAGGAGTAATTGTCTCCTGGATTCCAAGGTGCTTATACTTATCAAGTACTTTTTAATATGATAAAACTAATTTAATCCATAGTCAAACTTCATTCCCAAAATAGTATCCATTTCTTTGAGATCTTGCATCTTATTTTCTAAATACTAAAGTAAAATTTTTTTGATCTTGTCTATTCTAGTTATATTAGTGCTAAAAGATTAGCATGCCATCAACATATAAATTGATAATAATATCGAAATCTTTGGTTCACCTGGAGCAATTACATTCAGTACTTTTATGTCTGAATCCATTTATTAAAATTGCTGAATCAATAGTCTCTTGTCATCATATAGTCGCTTGCTTAAGTCCATACTTTATCAATATACTAATTTTATTTTCAAAACTAGGCAATATAATTTTGGCATTCCATAAATCGAACCTTCCATATTATACGTACTTCTAAACACCAATTTACACCCAATATTTTTAGAACATTGTTGTAAATCAATTAAAATCCAAGTATTATATGACATAATTGAGTATATTCCAACATTAATAAATTTTTTCTTAAGGTTGAATCTATAAAAGCATAGCTATACTAAAATTTTGAATCATCCTGAATTTGTAATAAAGTAGTTGTTATCACCTTCAACCAAGAAAACAGCTAAATTAAATGAAATAAAACCAGATTGAACAGATTTTCCAGTTCTTATTCTCTGGTTTCTCTTTCATTATGTTGTTTCATTATTTCCTTTCTTTTGCAACTATTAGAATTTTCTATAGTCCTTATTAATAGAATCTATGGAATCAGAAATAAATTTATTTTCACCAAATTCAGCATTTATATATCTTATAATAACCGTAGATTTTTAGTAGTCTATATACTTGTAAATAACCAACAAAAACAATTTGTATTCATCTAGTTTGGTTTTGTGCGTATCAGTAACCTTATTAAATATAATACACACCCACACTTTTGGCATATTGTAAGTTCTGTTTTCTAACACTATTCCATATCTCATATGTTTAAATATGTGGCTTTATGAATATAACCTACAGTGAAAAGAGATTTTCCAAATAGATTATAAGGCAATTTGACATTCATTAGCTTAGGGCTTCTTTCAGATCTTTTTTTTTTTACTTTTATTTTAAAAACATTTATTCAGTGCATTTTTCGCATGTTTTATTTGAAAAAAAGTAATTTATTTTTAAAAAGATTCAAAACATCTAAAAGTTGTTTTGATTGTTTTTAAAAACAATTAAACATGTTTTATCATATCAAATATGTTTTGTTTTAAATCAAAATATTAAAAAAAAAATCAAAAGTGATTCCAAACTGCCTCTTAGTTTTAGCCATCTTAACTGATTTTTTTTTTTTCATTCATTTATTCCACTTTTTTGTGGTGAACAAGGCGGAGTTCTTTGATATATTATCCCACTTTCTTCAACAAATGACTAAATAAATCCATAATATATTATCTGATTTTATAACTATGGGGAAATTCAATTACGTATAAAAAATAAAATTTATAAATTACTGTTTTCCACCCCTTGCTAGTTTTCCATTTAATTCATAAATATTAGAATGTACAATTTCCAACAGTGCAAAGGATCATTCTTCTTTATGAAATAGTTTCTTTGTCATTCTTGCTTAAATACAAATTTCACACTATAGCACAGAACTTATATAGTTTTTTTTGTCATTTTTGCTTAAATAATAGAATGTTTTTTCTTTTAGAAATTAAATTTTATTTTTCTATTTCCGTTATGTAATTTATGCTTGATGGTTTAACTTTGTTCTTGGACTAGTTGATTGACCCAGTAGATAAAACAGCAGATAGAGATTTATCTCTGATTAAGGATTTGGGAGTGAAGCTCATCTATGCTATGAATACTCATGTACATGCTGATCATGTTACTGGAACTGGCATCATAAAGGTCTGTAAAGCCTTCTATTCTTTTTTGGAAAATTTACATGCATACTGCTCAATTCCTATGTATTTACATATCCAACACCCAAAATTCAATTTTTACAAACATATCACCTTACCTAAGCTTGAAAAGGTGCATTTCACTTTTCAAAAGTAAAATGGTGCTATTTTTCATGTGATAGGAAAGATTTAGGTGGTATAAATGTAAATAAGTGAAGTTTAGGTGTGAGATATGTAAATACATAAGAATTGGGTGGTATGTATATAAATGCCACTTTTTTCAGTTTATTCAATGATCAAGCTAGTCAGTTAATTGGAAAATGGTAAGGCACTACTAAAAGTATATTCTATCATATTGAAGCTATTATTATTATTATTTTTTCTTATTCCTGATGTTATAAGTGCATTTTATTTGATTTTTTACATTTTTCTCAATAACCACGAACTTGCAGAGTAAGGTTCCAGGTGTACAATCAGTCATCTCTAAAGCTAGCAATGCGAAAGCAGACCATCTAATTGAGCATGGCGACAAAATAAGTTTTGGTGATCTCTATTTGGAGGTATGGAATTGTTGATTTTATGGAATTTTTATGTATTTGATTGGAAAAAGGCTGATCCATGTCTAATTTAATTTCTTGGTATGCATTGGTTCACTTGTTTTACATGACCAAAAAAGTAATTATGAACAAACGCCGAACTTTTTTGTCAATTGTCTATTTGTTAATCCCTGGAGCCCTTTGTTTTTACATTGTGACTGCAAACCTGTGGGACTGCTGTTATTCTTCCATGTCCGGTGGAGACAAACTCGACTGTCCTTATAGCTATGTATTTATTGGGGCATTTACATACATAGCACAAAATTCTCAAGTATTTACATTTGGCACACCTAAAATTTCATATTTATGCACATAGCACTGCAATTATTAATATCACATGAAAAATAGTATTATTATCACTTTTTAAAAGTAAACTATATCTTTTGATGCTGAGGTTTGAAACACCAAAGTGCTATGTATATAAATACGAAAGTTTTGGTGTGAGTCATGTAAATACATAAGAATTTTGTGCTAGGTATGTAAATGTTCCTTATTTATTCTATCAATTTCTTCCATCCTCAATTGGAAAACTTACTATTTTATCCATCAAGGCGTTTTTTGTCACATCTTGAGAGTTGAGTCCTGAAGATAGTATCCCCTGACAACATGCTGTATGATGAACTTAACCTCAACTCATGAGACAAGCCGTGACGGCTAAGATAAAGCATAATTACTTTTTTATTAAAATATAAAATGATTCATAGATAAACCTATACTAGCTATATATAATCATTAATATACGCAATAAAACTTTATTGAATCGGTAGAGCCTACCTCTGCTCAATGAAAACTAATAGAAGGGAAAAAGAATCAACTGCTACTCTAATAACTAACCCAAAACCTAATAATAGCTTAAAAATAATTGCAAAAGGCATAAATATCAAATTAATAACTATTGTTGATGAATCTATTTCCCTGGCAATGATCCACTAATCAGTCTGATAGGATATGCTAAGAGAAAAATTAATCACATATAAGTTTGCCATGCGAAATCAGTAGGTAACTTTTATCTTTTGAAACATAAACATCATGGCACAAGGCATGTAATATGAATAAAAGAATTGGCGTGATTTACAGTGCAATATATTTATAAAAATGCTTCATTGTATTGTGTTAGAATAATATTACATGGTCAATCCTTTTATGACGATTTGCAAAATAAAATTAAATTCTTCATGAAAAATATTAAGAAAAAATCTCTTTTCCAGGTCCGTGCTACACCAGGGCATACATTAGGCTGTGTTACATATGTAACCGGTGATGGACTTAATCAACCAAATCCTAGAATAGCATTTACTGGCGATGCTGTGCTGATACGTGGTTGTGGTAGGACAGATTTTCAGGTATGATTATCTAACCATTATTGCTAGGTTTTTTGGCATTGATTTTATGGATGTTGGTTAAAATATTTTTTAATATAGACTTTAGAATTTTATTGCATTAAATCAAATGCTATATTCCAAGGTGTAGTTTGGTAGCAAATTTAGTAAATTCTGTAAATACTGCTAACAGCAGGATTAAGTTCGAGATTTAAGGAAAAATTGAGAAGAAATTGAAAAGATAGAGAATTTACTAAATCTAGAATTTGAAAGTTGACATTTTTTTTTGTTGGCAATGTTCAATGTAAATATAACATGAGTCTGTTACCAGACAACCCCCAAGTCTTTTCAAATAAATTTCAAGTACTTTCTTATTCCACATAATCACAACCTCGTGATGTTTTTACTTGATATTTTAGTGACAAATATATTGCTATGCTGAGCCAGGTTGTTGATTTGAAACTTTAAAGTTGATGATGATTATGATGTTTTGCATCAGCATCAACAATTTAAACAAACTTATAGACAAATACTATTGATAGTTTAGAGTCATTTTATGTCAATATATGCACGGAAGTTCATAAGTATTTTTTTTATATTTCTATAAAAGCTTTATAAAGTGTTTAGATCTCAAATTATGGTTGCAATCCCTCTATGCCGTACAATGCGTGCTATATTTAGTTAATTTATGCCTCTAGGGAAAATTTCTTGATTGATTCATATAATTAAATTATGCATGTGGGGGAACATCATTTCCATCAAATGTGTTTTTGAATGCTATTATTTATCTTGAAAATGGTTGTTCACATTAGAGTAACAATGAGAAGAATTTATATGTATTAGAAATGTTAAATCAATATTCATGAACTCTTTTATCTTGCAAATGGTTTCTTAGGTCAACATTCCAACAACTTGGAATGTTTTGTATTTAAAATTTAACTTAAACTAATGGTAAATTTACATACGTAGCACACAATTCTTATGTATTTAAATATCTCACCTAAAATTTCATATTTACCCACAGAGCACTTTGGGGCTTTAAACCTATTCATGATAATGTTTATTTGACTTTTAGAAAGTGGTAATAGTGCTATTTTTGACGTGATATTAAAGATTTGAGTGCTATGTTTGTTGATATGAATGTTTAGGTGTGGCATATATAAATACATAAGAATTGTGTGCTATGTATGTAAATGTCCCTAAACTAATAAGCAGTGTTTTGGGAATTGTAACTAGCTTTCCATGCTTCAAATAATAATTTCCTTGGACATTTGCACTTGAATATTAGGAAAAGAATTTCAACTTTTTGTTTAATATTATTATGGAGGATAATATTTTGAAAGCATTAAATGTTTGAACCTTTTTGCAGCATATTACCCGTTAGAAAAAATAATGGTTGTTGAAGATCATGTTGGTTGTTGGTCTGAACTTTACTTTTTGCGCTCTTTTAATTTTGTTTTTGGATTTTTGCTGTGCTCTGCCATGGCTGATTTATAAGAACGAATTTGCATACATACCACTCAATTTCTGTGTATTTACATGGCTAATTGGTACGCTTATGCCTAGTTTAAGGGCAAGTTTGTCTTTTGTATGCCTAAGGGCAATTTA